GCACAGATTCCAAAAAAAGGAGAGAAGGAATGCAATGTGTTGCTGAGATTGTGAGTCAATTGGAGGGCACGATAATAGTGCATGAGCCAGAAAACAGGGAGGGACTGCATGTTAAACAACCGTCACACTTATCAACCGAAAATGAACTAAAAATTAAAGTAGATCAAGAAGCTGGATATCTTGAAGAAGATTCAAAGAAATGGAAATCAACAGTAGGAGCAGCAACATGCAAAGAAGAAGAGAAGTTGATAAAAGCAACAAAAGGTGACTGCTGGCAAGATTGCAATGGAAATAAGGCAAATGCAGGCCAACCTGAACTCGAGCAAAGGGACAAAAAAGAAAATGCAACTCCAGAGTCATGCAATTTGGAAAACTCTAAGGGCCAGAAAATATATGGAAGAGATCTACGAGACAGTGGAAATGAAGATATTATAGAAATTCAAGTTGAGCCTCATTTTATGAATAAAGTTATGTCTATGAATGCAATTCCAGTGATCTGTATAAGGCCTCTTAGCATGACTTCAGATGTCCAACCAGCCAATTTATCAGAGAAGGGAGATAATGTATCATATTTGTCTCTAGTTGCTATGGAGAGTCAACCTGTGGCTTCTCAAGACATTATTTTGGATATCAAGGAAAGGGAAGAACAACAAGAAAAAGTTGAGGAGGAAAGCGAACAGATGGAACATACAAGAAAATTAGAAGAAGAACAAGAGAAGGAAAGAATTCAAGAAGAAGAGAAAAAAAGGTTATTGGAAGAGGCAAAAGAGATGGAAAGAAAATTAGAAGAGGAGAAAGTAAGAGCAAGATTATTGGAAGAAGCAAATAACAAGGATAGAAGATTGAAAGAGGAGAAAGAACGAACAAAGTTGTTAGAGGAAGCTAAGGAGAGGGAAAGAAAATTGGAAGAAGAGAAGGAGCAAGCAAAGTTATTAGAGGAAGCAAAAGAGAGGCAAAGAAAATTGGAAGAAGAGAAGGAGCGAGCAAGGTTATTAGAAGAGGAAAAAGAGAGGGAGAGGAAAGTAGAAGAGGAGCGGACAAGAGTACTTAAAGAAGCAAATGAGAGGGAAAGAAAATTAGAAGAAGAGAAGAAGAGGATGAGGTTATTAGAAGAAGCAAAAGAGAAGGAACGAAAATTAGAGGAGGAGAGAACAAAAATATTAGAAGAAGCAAAAGATAGGGAAAGGAAATTAGAAGAAGAGAAAGAGAGAGCAAGGTTATTGGAAGAAGAGAAAGAGAGGGAAAGAGAAAGAGAAAAGGACAGACTCGCTGTGGAAAGAGCAACACGTGAAGCACATGATAGGGCATTCACAGATGCCAGAGAAAGGGCAGAAAGAATTGCTGCAGAGAGGGTTACTTCTGAGGCTTGGCAAAGAGCACATACTCGAGAAAAGGCAGAGAAGGCCACTTCTGAAGCTCTTGAAAAATCATTAACTGAGAAGGCTGCCAGAGAAGCTAGATTAAGGGCTGAGCGTGCTGCAGTTGAGCGAGCCACTGCAGAAGCTCGTGAGCGTGCTGTAGAAAGAGCGCTTGCTGAAAAGGCCGCTGCAGATGCCAGAGAACGTGCTGAGAGATGTAATGCCACTTCTAGGGACAGAACAAGGAAAGAAAATGTGACAGAAGAGCATTTAAGGGCCAGGGACAAGGTATATGAAAAAGGCTCAAATCTAATTTTTAATTAAGCACAATGCTGGTCAACTAAATGTTTATCCCTTTTCTAAATTCGAAATTCTGTTCTTTCATTCTGATCATGGATGATTAATTAATGATTTATATGCAGGATGCCACACAGGATTCACATTTTCGAAGTACTGGTTCTAGTTACCAAGCAAATTCAGATTCTGATGACCAAGGTACTAATCATTTTGGTGAAGCGTCAATTTGTTATTGTCAATTGTCATTAGTTTGCACTTTTGACCTTTTATATTTGTTCAACTGAATCTCTAATCTACTTTGATTAATAATTTGAAGCAGGTGCAGGTGAATCAGCTTTAAGGTGTAAAGCTAGACTGGAGAGGCATAATAGAATAGCTGAACGTGCAGTATGTCCACTTTTTGGCTCCACATGCATTTCATTATCTGTAGAGCAAGTTTGGACCTGAAAATTTTATTGTCAGTCTTCTGAAAAATTGCCATTTGTGCTTCCAGGCGAAGGCTCTTGCAGAAAAGAACATGCGGGACATTCTTGCACAAAGAGAGCAAGCAGAAAGAAATGTAAAATCGTCATAGTCGACAAAATGTTGTAAGGTTGTAGATTTGTCTTTTCTCAATTGACAAACTTCAATCAAACTGTGGTTGCAGAGGTTAGCAGAGTATCTGGATGCTGACATTAAGAGATGGTCCAGTGGAAAAGAAGGAAATTTACGTGCGCTGCTATCGACACTGCAGTATGTATGTATAAATATTAGACCTCAGTTTGTATATCATCCGCATCAATTGCTCATTTGTTTTCTAAATGTGTCTTCAAACGCATTTTGATGAAGTGATGTAGATATCATTTAGAAATATTTTAAGTGACTGTTTCTCCTTGCTGAAATACCAACCTCTATTATTGTCCAAGACTGTTTTATATGCTCTTACGGAAGTTGCTTAAGGTGAAGACTGTAATTCTGGACCTTCATTAACTGTATTTTTCAAATTTTGAGGAACTTTGTTTAATTTTCTCTTTTTGCTATCACTTCTTTTGACTTTAATTATCTGGATCTTTTTAGTTCTTAACATATATGAAGTTTGGCATGCAGATGAACTGATGCTTGGTAAGTGGTCATGTTAGCATTCTCTAATTCTTTTTATATCTCATAAATTTCCAATAGTGAGGGACTTATTTGATTTTCAGTGGGAACTCTTTGCCAATTCTGCTTTTGGACATTTTGTACATTATGTGCTCATATGTATGTTTCTTGATAAATATATATTAGATATCATGTAATGCCTGAAGATTCCATATATTAACATAAGCTGTCTTCTATTTTTCATAAAATATAATTCATATTTCATTTATCACTACAAAACTTTCTTCTCAAATTTTATTTTTCACGTGTATGGGTGGCGAGACTACATATGTCAAGCGTTTCTTGGCAATAAAACTCTCCAGGTGTTTCACTTGAGATTTCATGTTTGCAGATACTCAGCCCTGAGAGTGGTTGGCAGCCTATTCCACTGACAGATGTTATTACAGCTTCTGCAGTAAAGAAGGCATACAGGAAGGCTACTCTCTGCGTTCATCCTGATAAATTGCAGCAAAGAGGTGCCAACATTCAACAAAAGTATGTTTGTGAGAAGGTTTTTGATCTCCTTAAGGTGAGCAACTTATTTTATTGAATTTCTTGAGAAAGTGGATCATTTTGATCAATGCTGACACGCTGCTACAGTAGAAGTTACATTTTTTTTTATTTAACCAAACTTTTTAGTGGCGTAGGGAACTGAGTAGCTGATAAACAAATTTGTTTGTGATAGAGCATATGTAACCATATTTGAAGTTAAGCTAAGGTTTTACTCCAGTACATTGTTGCTAGAATTTATTCCCCACTTATTTTCTACTTGGTACATTGTTCTGTAGACTCTTGGAAACTAATAAGAAAGATTGATTCCTGCCTACATAATGTTGGATACTTGTGGAGCATTCATCATGAATCAACACTGTATTTTCTTGTATCTGATTGAATTTGAGATAAACTCCCCCAAAACTTATGGACATATTACTATCTTGGCACAGGAAGCTTGGAACAGATTCAACTCCGAAGAACGATAGTGGTTGAAAAGAATGTTGTAGCAGCATTTGTCTTTCGAGCTTTCAGTGGTTGTAAAGAAAAGATGCACTGCAGGTTTTGGTGGGAGAACTTAGTTCTGTAACACATCATCATCAACATACTTTAGCATTTATGTAGATGTGAAATTTGCTGGAGTGCCCTTCAAAATGCTAAATCTGTTCTCAACCAGACAATTCAATGTTGTGAAGCACTTTGTCGGTGGCTTCCATTCGGTGCATGTTTTTACCAGAACATTGAATGCATCAAATTGATAGGGTGCTGAACCGAACCCAACATCCTAAAATGGTCCCACCCGACCCCAATCCTAAAACGTTCCGTTGCTAGCAACTAAAGCTAGTTAGTTAACGCAACACAGCCGTTTCTGCGCGAGCAACCCTTTCAAATCGCATCGGTTCCAACGGCGGCCGTTTCTAAGGACACCCTTTCGTCTCCTCCGATGACTCCACTCCCTCTTCCGTAACAGTCATACCAGATGGCTACCGTCTCATCAATCCTTTTCTCTTCCCTCGGTACACTAACACAACACCAATAACACCTCCCAAGTACCCACATCCTCTGATACTATCTCTCTTTCCCATATGATAGGGGTAATAAATGATGACAAGACTCGCGCTGACGTCAGTTGACCTAGACGAAGCCCACGCCTCGATCAACCTGGTAATAAATGGTGATAAGACTCACGCTGACGTCAGCTGACCTAAACGAAGCCCACGCCTCGGTCAACCTGGCAGAGGCTGGTCAAACGAACCAGAACATAGGCCGAGGTCCATTAACGACTGCTCAGGCTCGATCCTTCACGCCAACACCAGTGTCAGACGCTACCAGAAGTACGAGCTTGCTCCCTACAAGCGGACACATCAGGAAACAGTAAGCTTCCCCATAAATACCCTCGCATTCCAAACGGAAAAGGGGGGACGAACATAGATAACAAACCCTACTCTACATCGCTAACTTGATCGTCGGAGGGGTCGGGCCGAGCTTCCGACCCGACCTGTGTGTAGGTAAGGAGACGAAGCTATTTCCCCGGGACGCAAGGAGAGGACGCCTTCCCCCCGGGACATCCCGGCGAATCCAATGATGATCTGGTCCGTGCGGTCGGTCACTCCGGCAATCCCGAGAGACCTTGAGAAAAGATCCCCGTCATTCAGCCCCGAACCAGGCCGCGTCAGCCCCGAGACACGACACAAAGTTGTTTCCCCCAACAGATTGGCGCTAGAAGGAGGGCCCTGAATGTCGAGGGATCACTTGACCGACCCCGATGAAGTCCCTGCCGAGGGACGGTTCTTCATGGGGGCGCCGACCAAGCACCCCTCGCGTAATGAGCCAAGGGCAAACGATCCTGCCATGACCTCAGAACGTTATTGGCGTTTGTTCAATGACCCGGGCCTACTTCCCGCCGAGGGCGCCCCGAGTGTCCCCTCGCCCGTGTCATCCGAAGCCTTTCAGGACCTCGCCCTTCAAGTCCGGGCCTTGGCAGGAATGGTGCAGACGGTAATCCCGCTCGTTTCCCATATGACTAACCCATCGGTGGCCCAGCCTGTGCGTCGGTTGGACCCACCTGCACCAGCTCACGCGACTACTTCGGTGCCCCCCAGTTCACCCCTGGCTCGGATGTCTCCCCTGGGAAATCAGGCAGGGGGAAACCCTCCCGGTCGACCCGAGCATGAGCCAATGTCTGCTGAATCAACGGGTTCTATCCGGGCCCAGCTGCACTCTCTCAGTCAGTGACTTGAAGATATACAGAAAGAGGTCCGAACCTCAAAGGGGGAGCCTGGGGACGAGGCGCGCCGAGGGTCACCATTCGCGGTCGAAATACGGGATCACCCGATCCCCGCGAACTTTCGACTCCCCTCCCTGGACGCCTATGATGGCACCACCGACCCCGCCAACCACGTGGCCGCCTTTCGGGCTCAGATGGCGTTATACGGAACATTTGACGCTCTGATGTGCAGGGCGTTTCCCACGACCCTGAGAGGCTCGGCCCGCGCTTGGTATAACAGTTTGAAGACCGGGGAAATCACCTCCTTCGACCAGCTCACCGAGAAGTTCGAGCTCAACTTCTTGGCCCTCGCTCGACCAAAGCCGTCCATCGCCCTGCTCCTCGAGCTGAACCAAAAGGGGGACGAACCTCTCTCTCGTTTTGTGAACCGATTCGCCACTGAAATCCGAGGCTTATCTGGTGCTCACCCCTCTTTATTGATGCAGGCATTTATGGCAGGTCTCCGTCCCTCCGCTGTCTCAGAAATGCTCCAGCGAGCCAATCACTACGTCGCGGCAGAAGCCTGGATGTCCGGGAGACGCAAGGGAAATAAAAGGCCCCGGACGGAACCACCGACTGGGCAGCTAGCTGGTTCGTTGAAACGTAGACCGGATCGATCCAACTCGACCGTACAGAGGTCACCCTCCCCTGCTTTGGTAATATCCCAAACTCAGATATTCCTCCAGATACAAGGGAAGGGGCTGCTCCAAAACCCTCCCCCGATGAGGAACCCCCGGCAACTCGCGGACAAAACGAGATATTGCCGCTTCCATCGACAGAATGGGCATGACACGGAAGAGTGTCGCGAGCTGAAGCGACAGATCGAGGAGCTAATTCAAAGGGAGCATCTTGGCCACTACATACGGCAAAATAAAGAGCTTTCGCCGTGACCCGAGGGCCCCGTTGAAAGGCAGATTGATGTGATCACGGGCGGCCCTACGTCCGGGGGAAACAGTATGACAGGGCGGAAAGCATACGCCCGCACCCTAACACCCGAGGACCCCGGACACGGGCCCGCGCCCGAGGTCACGTTTCCAGCTGAAAGAGCCAAACCGCCCGAACACGATGACGCGCTGGTGGTTGCTGCCAGAATCGCCAAAGCACACGTAAAAAGGATCATGGTCGACACCAGGAGTTCGGCCGACATCCTTTAACTGGAAGCTTTCCAGAAGCTCGGGCTCTCCCGCGACACCCTGGTGCCTATGAGCTCGGCGCTCACCGGATTCACCGGCGAATCAATTTCGCCATTGGGTGCGACCGTCCTGCCCTTAACCCTCGGGTAAGCACCAAGGATGAAGACGGTAATGACAACCTTCTTGGTGGTTGACCTCCCAACCGCATACAATGCAATCCTGGGACGCCCCACCCTCAACAAGTTCAGAGCAGTCATGTCTACCTACCACCGGACATTGAAGTTCCCGACCCGCGCGGGGGTCGGAGAAGCCAAGGGAAATCCCCGCGAGTTAAGGCGATGCTACTTGATCGCGGTCTCCCTACATAGGAGGAGGGGGGCCGAGCTCCCGCTCGAAGACCCTCGGGAAACAAAAAGGCTATCACCACACCCCGAGCCAATGGGACCTACCGTGGATGTGCCCTTGCAGGGCGGGCGTCCGGATCGAACAGTCAAGGTAGGGTCGGAGCTTCCTGAGCATGGGCATGCCCAGCTCATCAACCTCCTCCAAAAGAACGTCAATGTCTTCGCCTGGTCTCCCACTGACATGGCGGGGGTGGATCCTGAAGTATCTCAACACCACCTGTGCATTTCCCCTGATGCACGACCGGTAAAGCAGAGGCCCCGGCGTCTCGCTCCCGAACGCCAGCAGATCATTCGGGGAGAAGTAGAACGACTCCTAGCGGCCGGCTTCATTGAGGAAGCCAAATACCCGCGCTGGTTATCCAATGTAGTCCTCGTGAAGAAACCCAATGGAAACTGGAGAATGTGCATTGACTACACCGATCTCAATCATGCTTGTCCGAAGGACTGCTACCCCCTCCTGCGAATCGACCAGTTTGTCGACGTGACGACATGCCACGCCCGCCTTTCATTCATGGATGCCTTCTCTGGTTACAATCAAATCAGGATGGCGCCCAAGGACCAGCAGCACACAGTTTTCCTCACCGACCAAGGAGTCTACTTCTACAAAGTTATGCCATTCGGACTGAAGAACGCCAGGGCTACGTATCAAAGAACCGTGAATAAAATGTTTGCTCACCAGATCGGTAGAAACATGAAGTTCTACGTCGACGATATGATTGTGAAGAGTCGCACGACTGCAGCTCACCTGTCCGACTTGGTCGAGACATTCAACACACTACAAAGGTATAACATGCGACTCAACCCTGCCAAGTGCGCCTTCGGCGTCAACTCGGGCAAATTCTTCGGGTTCATCATACACGAAAGGGGAATCGACGTAAACCCCGACAAGGTACGAGCAATCACCGACATGTAGGCCTCTCGGACGATCAAGGAGTTACAGCGCCTGAACGGGAGGCTCGCCGCCCTGTCAAGGTTCTTGTCCCGATTAGGTGACCGATGCCACACTTCTTCCGTGCCTTGAAGAATTCCAGGGAGTTTGCATGGACGGCGGAATGCGGGGAAGCCTTCGCCCACATCAAGGAGCACCTAGCCTCACTCCCTCGCCTCACTTCGGTGTCCCCTCGGGAAAAGCTCGGTATATACCTAGCTGCCTCCGAAAATGCAGTAAGTTCGGTCCTGGTCAAGGAGGCCTCTAGAGGACAGCAACCGGTTTACTATACCAGCCACATCCTTAATGGACCCGAGGAGTGATACTCGCCCATTGAGAAGCTGGCACTGGTGCTCGTACTGGCCACCCGGAAGCTGCACCCCTACTTCCAAACTCATCCGATTGAGGTAATCACCGATCAGCCGCTCCGACAAGTGTTGTCTTAATTTGACCTAGTAGGTCGCCTCCTCAAGTGGTCAGTGGAACTCGGAGAGTTCGACATTCGGTACGTCCCGAGGACCGCCATCAAAGCACAGGCGGTAGCTGACTTTATCTCGGAAGTGACTCAGCCCAAGGGCGAGGAGCCGGAGTGCGTGAAAACGGAATGGCTCCTCCGTGTGGACGGATCGTCCGGCCGATCAGGCGTGGGGGCCGAGATGGTATTGGAGGCCCCCGACGGCCGCTCGTTCGAGCACTCCCTTCGCTTCGGGTTCAAGGCCACCAACAACGAGGCGGAGTACGAAGCGCTACTGGCGGGGTTCAGGCTAGCCGTCGAAATGCAGGTGGACGACATACACGTCCTCACCGACTCGCAGCTGGTCGCCAAGCAGATCGACGGTGGGTATGAGGCCCGGGACCCGACCATGTCGAAGTATCTGGCGGAGGTGAGAACACTCGCTGCCCATGTTTCCCGTTTTGTGTTATCCAGGGTGCCCAGGCGCCAGAACGAGCACGCTGACGCCCTGGCAAGGCTGGCCTCGAAATCAGACCCTTCTGATGAGCCCAGCGTGGAAGAGCTCCCCACCCGTGCCGTCACGATCGCAGCGGTGGCCACCGCCGACCCGCCGACGACATGGGTGCAGGAGGTGCTACAATTTAAGCGCCATGGCATGCTCCCCGAAGACGAAACCGCAGCCTAGCGCCTGCGCCGAGCCCATGCCCGCTACTGTGAGATCGGTGGCCGGCTATATAGGAGGTCGTACTCGCTCCCCCTCTTACATTGCCTCGAGCCCGAAGAGGCAGAGTCGGTTCTCACCGAGGTCCATGGTGGTATTTGCGGTGAACACATAGGTGGACGCACTCTAGCATTTAAGGTGCTCCGCCAGGGGTACTACTAGCCCACCATGTGCCGAGACGCAAAGTTATATGTGCGAAAGTGCGACGCATGCTAGAGTCACGCGCCCACGCTGTGGCAGCTGGCGGTCCCGCTTACGCCCGTGGACTGCGCTTGGCCCTTTGCGTAGTGGGGAATGGACCTTCTAGGCCCCTTCCCCCCAGCTTCGAGGCAGCGAAGATATATTATCGTCATGATCGACTACTTCACCAAGTGGGTCGAGGCCGAACCATTGGCGACGATCACGGAGCGTCAGGTGGAGGGATTTGTATGGAAGAACATCGTCACCCGGTTCGGCCTGCCCAGGGTCATCATCACGGACAATGGGATGCAATTCGCCAGTACTCGGTTCAAGGAATTCTGCACAAACTACGGGATACAGCTAAGGTTCAGCTCGGTGGCACACCCTCAAACGAATGGGTTGGCCGAAGTAACCAACCGAGCCATTCTGGGCGGTCTCCGGAGGAGGACTCTCGCGGCCCGTTCGGCTTGGGTCGATGAACTCCCGAGCGTATTATGGTCCTTGCGGACCACACCTAAAACCGCAAACGGGGAATCCCCGTACAACCTGGCGTTCGGCGCCGAGGCCGTCTTGCCCGCTGAAGTGGAGATAACCACCCCCCGAACGGAGTCCTATGACGAAGGGGCGTCGGCTGAGGGACTCCGAGCCGGACTGGACTTGCTCGAGGAGAAGCGAGCCAACGCGCACATGAAGGCCCTCTCATATAAGAGAGCCGTCGCCAGGATTTACAACAGGAAGGTACGTTCCCGACCTATTAAGCTGGAGGATCTAGTGCTGCGCAGGGCCGAGGTGAGTAACCCGACCCGAGCATATGGTAAACTCTCCCCCAAGTGGGAAGGACCCTATCGAGTCATCAGGATCGTTCGACCGGGCACGTACCGGCTCGCCACGATGGATGGCTGTCCTCTACCAAGGACATGGAACGTCCAAAACCTTAAGAAATTCTACGTGTAAGAGAAAAGAAGGTTGGCAACACGAGAAAATGTTCTTTTATTTGAGAAGAGTTAGCATTACAGGACTCGACCCTGACTTACAGACCGACCGACACCTTAAGAAAAAAAAAAAACCAACAAAAAATATAAGACTCTTCTTATTCCTTTGGGATGTCTGGATGGCCATCGAAGGGGACGTCCTCGGGCATGTCCACCTCAAGATCCTCAGGGTGAGGGGTGAAGGGGTCCTCCTCCACCTCGAGGCCTGGGTGGCGCGCGCGGAAGCGGGACATGGCGATCCGGTATCCGTATTTGAAGGAAACCCGCCCCGTGCGCGTCAGCCCGAGTTCGAACCCCTCGGACTTCTTGTATGTCACGATTAGCTCCTTGTCCTTGTCGGGTCGGAGCCGAGCCTCCTTGGCAAACGCTTCAGAAGCTGCCCTCGCCTTCACCTGCGCCTCCTCCAGTTTCTTGCTAAGGGAGCCCGCCTCCGTTGTCAACAGATGGAGCTCGGTCCGCTCCACCCTTATGGTTTTTTGGAGCTCCTTATTCAAGTTCCCGGATGCCTCGAGCTCCGACCTGAGGCGAGCCACCTCCGCCTTCGAGTCCGCCGCGCGCTTCTCGGCGGTTGCCACGGCTTTCGGGTTGGCCCCGGCTCGGGCCTCCTCGACCTGGCGGCGGAGCTCGGCGTTGCGACTGATTAGGCCCCCGATGACCCTGCTAGCGTCACACACCTGGTCCATCAGGGCCGTCGCGTAATGAAGGCCCTGTAAGAGGGAAGATGGGTCAGGAAGAACAGCGTCGGATTAGTAACCCAAGGTGGGAGGCGAAGCACTTACCCAGGTCAGAGACTTGGCGGACTTGCCGAGCAGAGCCTCCGAGGATAGGGTGTATAAATCCCGAGCCATGTCGGGATGAAGGGCGCCCCGGAGGAATGCCACGGCGGATTCCCCTCCGGCCCACACATTGTCCCCCCGGGACAGGCCTCCCCAGCGGGCAACCAGGGGGTCGCTTGCCTCCCCGGTCGGGATCTCGCCCACTAGCCACGTCAGGAACAGCTCCTCGTCCCCTGCGGGCAATCAACACAAGTCGCGCATGGAGGGAGGGCGCGGGTCCTTCCCTGCCGTCTGCTGACTGG